TGTTGAGAAAACTGACTCTAAGCCCAGCAAGACATAAGAGCTCAGCTAATTGTAGATTGGAGTTTATTGTGCTTTGTAAAGGGAGAGGAAAGATGAGAACATGAGGAGTAATGGATGTCTCTGCCATGCCTATTGTGAGAGTAGGTGAAATTAATTTCCCTTTCCCACCTTCTTTCTCCTCATTATATATATATATATTTTGGTAAATACTACTCTCTTGATAGGGACTTAAAAGAAATTTCAATTAACTCACACAATACTATTTTCTTTTTAAATAAAGAGGGTCATATATATATTTCTTAAATGAAGAGACCTTATTTAATTTTTTTGTGGAGCTCATTCCAGCTTGTGTGAACAAATAAAACAATCTATTAATATCGAGATTTGATCCATATTAGCAATTTTTTAAATTAGCATTTTCGAGAAATTAGAGCCATATAAAGTAGGGAAGTATCTCAAATCAGGGAGTCAATTCCCTTATTGATATTACCTTAAAATATTATTATATATGTTTTATTTAGGACCAAAATATCACTCAATTATTATTATTTTTATTCAAAATATACCTAACACTCTAAAAGTTTCACTCTCTCCTAGTTGACATGATATGACATTAAATTCTTTTTTTTTAAAAAATTAGGTTAATTTATTTCATTAAACTCATTTAACTAAAATAATGTGTCACGACCCAAATCGGGGCCGCGACTGGCACCCACACTTTCCCTCCTATGTGAGCGAACCAACCAATCTAAACCTTAACATTTCAATATAATATCAACAGAAAGTAATGCGGAAGACTTAAACTCATTTAATAAAACCAATTCATTAACTATTATTCCCCAAAATCTGGAAGTCATCATCACAAGAACATCTATGATCAAAGTACTAAACTAAGAGTATTCTAAAAGCTAAAACAAGTAAAAGCTAGTCCATGCCGGAACTTCAAGGCATCAAGACATGAAGAAGTAGATCCAGTCCAAGCTAGAAACATTAGCTCACCCTGAAGATTCGATGTAGTGAAGACTGGCTAGAGTTGCGATTGAGTTGAAGACGATGGCACGTTTGCTGCACTCCACAAATAACAAAGAAGAAAACATAAAAGTAGGGGGTCAGTACAAACACAAGTACTGAGTAGGTATCATCGGCCCACTCAAAATAGAAAACAGTATATATCAAATAATATCATAAAATCAACTAATATCCTTAGCATGCAGCATTTACAATTACCATAACCCTTGGTTACAACACCAAGCTCATCAATGAGGACTCACACCTCCTCATCATACTCATTTGGGAATCAGGTTCATTAGATTGAATATATTAACATCTTTCAAGATTCGTTATCTTTATTCCTCTCGTGTCGGTACGTGACACTCCGCACTCAATTCTCAAGAGTTGAAGTGTTTTGAAACGGTGGATCACGACGATTCGTCGTGACTGTGACGGTCCGTCCTGCAAGTCCGTCATAGAGTTCAGAGAGTCGATTCCAGCACCCAAATTTCAGAATTTCTAAGTGTTTTGGGACGAGACACCCTCGACGGTCCGTCGTGCCCATGACGTTCCGTCGTGGGTTCCGTCGTCTCAGCCTGTTTTTCCAGAAAATAAAATCTGCTGCTCAAAACGACTAAACAGGTCGTTACATAATGATCATAATATTTTTAAAAAAAAGATATATTAGTTTATTAAGAATATATTTTCATACTTGAGACTTTTTAATTTTTTTTATGTGTTGGAGAACAGGTTTTTAAAACGTATTATAATATCATTAATTTTGAATACTTATAAACATATACAATCAAAACAATATTGATGTACAAATAACTGCTAACTTACATCAATTAATCATAAATTGTATAATGAATCAATAATATTAAACGTCAATCAACTATTACAATAATGCTAATTGTGTATTTTGAAATTAATGCTTACAATATTTTTTTTTTCTGAAAAAATAGAAAGTGATATATTTAATATTTTTTTATTCAAAAAACAATAATAAATACATCAAAAGTCTCTTTCTATTCTACTTAATACGTCATGTCAATAAATCATCATTTTAAAAAACAATAGACCTATTTAATTCATCAAACTTATGTCTCTACAAAACGAATATACAAATTACATGAAAATTTATGAAGATTGTAAAAAAAATAAAAGAATCTAATTTCTTTACATATCTTACCAAACAAAATTCAATAAAAAAACCTTTGTGTGCAATTATTACTTGGTAAGTTTTAAAATTCCTAAATAAATTATTTGAAAATTTAAGATATTTTTTTCATAAAAGTATACAAATAAATTCGTAAGATCAACAAAAAGGTTGATATGAAAAAATTATTATTAACTTTTTTAAAATTTTATTTTATTTTAATCTTTTATTCTACATTATATTATATTATATTATATTATATTATATTATATTATATTATATTTTGACTTATCATTCAATTAAACACCAATATATATTCTTATCTCATCCCAAATTTATAAAATACAATAATTAATTGAATTGCCTATTTAATTCACTACTATACATATTATATGAGATTACTACTGATAAATAAATATCAAAATTTATTTTTTAATATAAATATTTTTTACTTTCTATTTTATTTTTTATTTTTTTAAAAAGAAGATATCGTAAGTATATATGAATTTCAAACACCTAATTAATTGACCTTTAATATTATGATACATATAATATATGATTAATTGATGTAAGTTGACATACATAAGTGCTTTATATATCAATTTTTTTTTTTTGAATATATATGTTTATAATTATTCAAAATTGATGACATTATGGTAACTTTTAAAAAACTATTTTAATTATGATAAAAGATTCTTAAGTATGAAAAATTATTTTTAATAAACTAGTACATCTTTTTAAAAAAATAATATGATCATTATTTTAATTAAATGGGTTTAATGAATTAAATTAGTTTATTATTTTGAAAAAGACTTTAATGACGTGTCATGCCAACTAGGAAAGAGTGAGACTCTTGGAGTGTCAAGTATATATTTGGAAGGAAATAGTGATAATTGAATGGTATTTTGATCCTAAATGAAACATATATGATATTTCTAGGCAATTCCTTAAACCTGGATGACCATATAGGGAAATTGACTGCAAATCAGGATATACATTTGTTACGTACGTACTCCTTATTTTGACTGGTTTATTATATTTAAAATAATTTTTTTAATTTAATTTTTAAATTAAAAAAGGTTTATATTTTGTATTTATTTTACCTTGTTATCAATGTTTTATGACTTATAATAACTAAGAATAGTATAATAAAAAAATATTATTTGATTTATTATTTAAAACAGTGTGTTAAATCAAACATGAAATAGAAAAGGGAGTATATAAAAATCTATGCCAGTTGGCCTCTTATTTTGTAGGGTCATTTCATTTTATTTATTTTATTCTATCATACTTGATATCAAATATTCGTATTAGAGCTCTATATAAGGTCTCTTTTGAGAGAAACGCTATTACCAAGAATATGTTCGTATCCAAACTCAAATTTAATATCATTAAATCAAAAGAACGGTCTCATATGCTACACCACATTTGTTGGTGGTCCTAGGTTCCTTCTTCACCTTCTCTTATTTAAGATTTTGACACACAAGCAAAGAAAACTTTATAGTAATAGTATTCCCTCTATTCCTATTTAATTGTCCACGTTAAAATAACACACATATTAAGATAACAATAATAAGTTACAATTTTATCCTTATTAATTATGGTTTCAAAAAGAATGAATTAAAACTTAAATTTTTTCAAGAAGTTTAAGTGGAGGTATAACAGGGAAAAAATATTTGTCCTTTCATAATTTGTCAAAATGAATAAGTAAGTAGAGATAACTAAAAAGGAAAATATGGACAGTAAATAGGGACAAGGGAGTATTAATCACAAAAGTTATTCCTCTTTGATTTCAACTTATAAACATTTTTTGATGTTTACAAAAATGAAAAGAAATCAATTAATACTTAGAATTAAGTAAATTTGATGAAATTATAAGATTAACCAAACACCCTTTCAATAAAAATTGGCAAGCCTGGTATGGCTTTTTAGAAAATTGTACATATCATATATGTATATATCATTAAACACATGTGAAACGGATATATATATATATATATATATATATATATATATATATAATAAAGTTAGTTTACGATAAATTAATCCATTTAATGGATCTCAAATCAGGATATACTTATTCATTGATACACTACACAAAAGCTGTGGACGTTTAAATTTTATCAAATTAGTCCATAAAATTTTAATTAAAGTACTATTTAATCAGCTACAAATGATAAGTTCATTATGCAAAGTCTGAAATGTCATCTTATTCCATAGGCCTAAATTGGTGCTAGTCAAATAATGACATGACATAAAAAAATCAAGTCAAGTGAAAGAGTCAATACGATATGCTACGTGCTCAAGGTGACATATGATACTAAATCAAACAAAAACCAATGAAAATGTGTCTTTGCGACGTATTATATTTTCGATCAATCAAATATCATCATCTCAGTTAATTTTATATATTGGCTGAAAAATGTACTTGTCCTCATCTAAACTCTTTCATCCTAAATACTACGATGAATCGAGCTCTTCATAACTTAGAAAATGACCAAAATTCTTGTTGATGGATCAAACACCATAACTTTATCTACAAGCATTCAAGTATATTTGTTTACAAGTTTCAGAAATCAACACAAAGACTCAAGATCAAGCTTCAAACCCAAATTAAATAAAAGTTCAAGATCCATAAATTCATATTAATTTCAATCTTAATTATTATTTTCTGTGAGTTTCCGAAAGCATGAGATAATTAAGATTCCCGTTCGACATGTCTGGTGGGCATTCAGAAGTCAATTTGATTATAAGATCATACTCCATCATCACACAATAGCCCATCTTATGCCTTATTTATTAAAATTTAGACGTCTGAATGAATCTGAATACACATTTAAATAAAATAGGTTCAATAAAGATGGTTAATGAGCGCCAAGGCGTTGCTGGCAAGTTTGGTAATATTTGCCATGCTGCTATTTATCATTTCCTTGACAGTTGGATTTACCTCCCGTCCAGAAAACCCCTCGGTACACGAATCGGCGTCTGTTATTACTGCACTCGCATACGTTTTAGCATTAGACAACTGAAATGCCTTATCTTTATCACCTAAATGTTTCATTGCTTCAACAGCCTGCTTTAGTTCGTACACTGCATCCTTCACATCTTCTATGCAGTCTTTAATTATGGATGCTTCAATTCGGGTTATTCCCTTTTGTTTTCTCAGTGTTGAGACAGTGCTAGAGGCGTTTTTTGAGGCTTTTATGGTTACATCAAGAGCTGCTTTGCATAGCCTTGTGGAGTTGGTTTTCACTGAAGACGCATACGGAATTAGTGTTTTTTCGCAAAGGGAAATGTATGTGGTGACGTTGCATTTAGTTTTGACGAAGTTTGTGTAGGCTTCATTAGTAGCAGCTCTGGATGTTTGTGGTAGTGAGATGAATAAAGCAATTGTTAAAAGGGGAAATAGCAAGGTTTTGCAAATAGACATCTCCATTTTATTTGAATGTGTAGGAAATAGAGAAAAAGACGTGAATATATATATATATATATAGAGAGAGAGAAATGAATTTGGCAATGTGTTGTATTATCTGATTGTGAGAATAAAATTAGTGTAAGATACACAAAAAATGAGTTGTGAAATGTGGGGTATCAAATTATCTCGCCGTCACAGACGGTAGCAGCCACAATTAAAGTCACATGCAAAATCAAGGGGATCCTAGATATGTCTTCTAATTTACGTGTGTCTATATGCATTTAACACACCTATGTATCTAAATCAAATACTATAATTTACATAGATATTTGAACTTTCATAAGTAACGGGCCGCTGAATAAAATTAATGGTCTAAAATGATTTGTAATAAGAGGTTTTATGTTTTAATCAGAGGCTATGGTCAAGTCTTCTTGTAACTTTCTTCCTGATTTGTAACACCCCAAATGACCTAGAAAAATTTATAAAAAAAAATGAAGAAGTAAAATTTGTGCTTCGTCTTTTTTTAATTAGAAATTTTAAGTTTGAACCGTTGGTCTCAAAATTGAATTATCAGAAAGTCAATAAAATAAAATAATGAGGCTCCCAAAATTTTGGGACCTAAATGGCTGGCCTAATTGCACACTACAGGTCGAAAGATAATGTTGAAATTAGGTCTTTAAGCCCAACTCAAATTTCAAAAGCTAGATCAAAAGGAGGAGTATTGTCCAAGCCTTATAAGGAGTCCACCCAGCTCATTAACCACCAATGTGAGACTTTTGTCATTCTTTAAGAGAAAAAATATATATCTTTGCTGGCCAATTCATATTTATTCTCTAGACTAGAAGAGCATTATGTTGAGCATAGGAGTTGTTGAACGTGGCCAGAAAATGAAAAATAAAAATGATAGCACGTAACGCTGCGGAAGTGGAGGAAATATATTTATATATTCACCCATGTGGCTAAGATACGGGGTATAAGTCTAAGCACCTTAATTCACCATTTCTGCTTTCTATTATTATATATAATATATATTATGGTATATGATTTATGAACTTTAATAATATTTGTGCCTTAATTCACCATTTGTGCTTTCTATTATTATATATATTATGGTATATGATTTATGAACTTCAATAATATTTGTACCTTAATTCACCATTTGTGCTTTCGATCATTATATATTATGGTATATTATTTATGAAATTTAATAATATTTGTGCCTTACGCAAGAGAAAATACACGTTTTCATGAGATTATTTTGCTTGGGTTTCTAAATATTATTCATAGTGAATTAGTGATTCAAACATATTACTATTTTATTCAAAATGCATGCACGTTATAGCTACTTCTTTCTTTGGAGGCGGTTTTATAGCAAAATTTTGGAGTCACTTTAATTTACCAATGTACTACTTTCATCTGGTCCAACTTATCCATGCCCCACCCGGTTAAAATTTTATCATAAATTTACCGATGAAATCTTTAATTTCTTAAAATAAAATTTATATATTTGTAAATTTTATAAAACGTAAGTCATAATTATAGGTTGTCAAATGAGCACAAATATAGATAATTCGGCCTGAACTATATGGATTGGAGTCAAAATAGTTTGAAGTGGGTTCCATCTCAATCTATTTAAGCCTACACCCATTTTAAGAGAATCTTCAATTTGAGTCCAATTTAATGTCTAATTTCAAGTTATTTTAATACTCTTTATTTGCATTGATATAATAATGTATAGTTTACAATAATCTCATAGTTTTAAAAGTAAATTACATCTTATTCCTATTTTTTTTTTCTAATTACAATAATCTCTTAAAATTTATACCTTCAAAATACATTAAAAAATATCTGGGATACATTATAACATAAACCGAATACATAATATGTAACTCACATACATTAAAAGTTAACTCGGATACATTATAAAATAAATCGGATACATAATATGTAGCCGGATACATTTAATACTAGCTCGAATACATTAATATGTACCTCAGATACTAATATACATTAGGAAGATTTTAGAGGTATTATATAATATATATGTTACTATTAAGTATATGAATTACTATCTATTTTATATGTTTTGTGATTTCTATCCATTTGTAACTTTTTTTATAAAAAAAAACTTCTTGAGATGAAATTCAAAATTGTGGCTATAGAAGTTAAATAACAATGTGTTAAAATTATTGAGATTAAGCGGGTCATGATTCAATTCATTTGGGCCCACAATAAACTTGGGCGGGTCAAGACCCAACTCAATTTCTATATCAACACATTTTAATATCTCCAATTTCAACTCAACCTTCCCATTTGGCACCCCTTATTCACATTAATAGTTGACAATCCAAAATATTAAAAAGATTTGTGAAAAATTTATGATTAAAGACAAACTTGTTAGAATTTTTTGAAATGTGTCACATAAATTGAGATATATAGAAAATAGTAAGAAAAATTGTGTTGTATCATAAATTTGTTAATTCTAGGTTTGAAACACATTTTCAATAATTTATTTATAATCTTCTATATTTCTAGGGTATTATTGTCAACCTACCATCGATTCAACTTCTTTTTTCAAAATGTCGTCGTACATCCTTCATCGTCGTTCCTGTTGTAAAGAAAGCTCAGAATATAAGAAGAAAAAGACAAGAAGTATAAGATAGAGGAGATAATTTTCTTATTCAAGTATGTATTACAAAAGGTGAATGATATCTCTATTTATAGAGTTGAGATATCACCCCAAAAGCCCCCATGATAAATGTCCAATTAGTAGGTACATAGTTATCCAAATGATTCTTATCACCTTGGGAACATGTATACATGAATACAATTAAGTCTTGAGTAAATCTAAAGGACAATCCACACAATTCAATAGATTTATAACACTCCCCCTTGGATGTCCATAGATTATGTGTCTCGTTAAAACCTTACTAGGAAAAACCCAGTGGGAAAAAGCCTAGTGAAGGAAAAAGAGTACACATATCTCATAATACGCTTTGAATGTTGCCTCATTAAAAACCTTACCAGGAAAACCCAACTTGGGACAAAACCATAGTTAAGGAAAAGAGTACAACGCGTATTTCGCTCCCCCTATGAAAACTTTACTTGATATCTCGGAGACGGCGCATTCCAATCTTGTATCTCAACTTCTCAAATGTTGATGTTGGCAATGCCTTAGTGAATAAATCAGCAAGATTATCACTTGAACGAATTTGTTGAACTTCTATCTCACCATTTTATTGAAGATCATGCGTGAAAAAGAACTTTGGTGAGATATGCTTTGTCCGGTCTCCTTTGATGTATCCTCCTTTCAATTGAGCTATACATGCAGCATTATCTTCGTACATTGTGGTTGGTATATTCTTTTTCAAAGAAAAACCACACATTTTCTGAATATGATGGGTCATTGATCTCAACCAGACGCACTCTCGACTTGCTTCATGGATGGCTATTATTTCTGCATGATTTGAAGAACTACCAATGTTTGCTTCATTGATCGCCAAGATATTGCCGTGTCTCCACATGTAAACAAATAGCCTGTTTGTGATCAAGCTTTATGCGGATCTGATAAATACCCTGCATCTGCGTAACCAATCAGTTCTGATTTAGTGGATTCATTGGAATAGAATAAACCCATGTCCATGGTCCCTCGAAGATATCGAAGTATGTGTTTAACACCATTCCAATGTCTTTTTGTTGGGGAGGAACTGAATCTTGCCAGTAGACTTACTGCAAAACAGATATCTGGTCGAGTATTGTTAGCAAGGTACATTAGTGCCCCGATCGCACTAAGATAAGGAGTTTCATCACCAAGAAGCTCTTCATCATTCTCTTGAGGTCGAAATGGATCTGTATTGATGTCAAGAGATCTTACCACCATTGGAGTACTCAATGGATGTGAGTTATCCATGTAAAAACGCTTTAGTATCTTTTCTGTGTACGTTGATTGATGAACAAGTATTCCATTTGACAAATTCTCAATCTGTAGACCAAGACAAAATTTTGTCTTGCCGAGATCTTTCATTTCAAATTCTCTTTTCAGACACTCAACAGCTTCTAAAAGCTCTTTACGAGTTCCAATGATGTTCAAATCATCAACATACACAACTATTATTACAAATTCAGACCCCAACCGTTTAATGAAAATGCAGGGACAAATCGGGTCATTTTTGTACCCTTTCTTTAACAAATATTCACTCAGACGATTGTACCACATCCTTCCTGATTGTTTCAGTCCATACAGAGATTTCTGAAGCTTTATTGAACAAGTTTCTCTTGAATCTTTGTATGTTTCAGGCACTTTAAATGCTTCAGGAATTTTCATGAAAATGTTGTGGTCCAATGAGCCATATAGATAGGCTGTGACAACGTCCATTAGACGCATTTCAAGTTTTTCATGAACTGCCAGATTTATGAGATATCTAAAGGTGATTGCATCTACCATTGGAGAATATGTCTCCATAAAATCAATGCCAGGTCTTTGAGAAAAACCTTGAGCAACGAGTCGGGCCTTATATCTCATGACTTCACCTTTCTCATTTCTTTTTCGTACAAAAACCCATTTGTACCCCACTGGCTTGATATCTTCAGGTGTTCGGATTATTGGTCCAAAAACTTCACATTTTTCTAGTGAAGCCAATTCAGCTTGAATTGCATCCTTCCATTTTGGCCAATCATTTCTCTGTCTACATTCGTGAACAGATTTTGGCTCAAAATCTTCATCTTGTTGCATTATTTCAATAGCAACATTATAGGCAAATATGTTGTCAATCACAACATTATTTCGGTTCCACAACTTTCTCGTCGAGACATAATTCATTGAAATTTCATTATTTTCAGAAGTTCGAACCTCCTCATCATCATGTGTTATGACTTGGGTCTCATCTTGAGAAATTTCTTTCAACCCATGATCATCTTGATCATTTATTCCTTTTCTCTTTCGAGGATTTTTATCCTTGGAACCAATTGGTCTACCACGCTTCAAATGTGGTCTAGACTCATTTGCCTTAACAATTTGTCCC